CGACCCACCGATTGCGAGACGAGCGCCCTAACCACCTGGCCATGCCGGGCCACCACGCTCAGCTCTTGTCCTGACAGCATTAATGTATTCTTCCTTAATATTGAAACTTAGATGACTATAAAAAAAAAAACTCACTCTACGTCTAATCACCAAGTGAAAGCTTGAGCATAGACTCACATTTTAATACAAATCACGGTCACCTCATAACTTGAACACAGAAATGCTCCTTTTAATTGGATTTGAATTTATATTCTGTAGCTTTTATCGAACTCTTACCTTGACAATTAACATAAATGAATTTTATTCCAATAATTCCGCTATTTTTTTAATATTGTTCAATTTCAAAACAGTACAGCATCAACTTTGAACGTATCACTTCCAAATACAAAACAATAACGAATTCATAAAACCACTTCCCATACAAAACAATGATGGATACAGAAAATCACTAAATATTAACATTGATTCCTCAAGAAAAGAAAAAAAAATTAACAGTTTATAGAAGAATATATACATATTATTTGCATATATGTAACTGTATCCTCTTGGAACAATTCTAATGATTTTTTGCCAGTGTACTGTTGTTAACTCGCCAGTTTTTATTATCAGATATCATTCACATCTTACGTTTTCAAGCCAAAAGCTAGTGAAGCAATGAAACCACTAAGCCTAATGGTGATAAAATCACACGAGTATATCCCATACACACATACATTCCTCTTAATTAGTACCAAGATTTCAGATCACAGGTGTGGAAAGAAAGCCTACGAGTTCTTAATTTAGAACTGGGGGAGCAATTTGATTACACCCCTGGCATCGATTAGTGTCATGTAAAATGATTGATCAAAAATTACTATTAGATCAGTTAATGTCAAGAAAATAATTAACTAATCGAAATTTGTGTTTCCGATTGTTCCCACTATTTAAGTCTCACGCGAAAATAATCGAGTACTTGAATGTAATTGATAAATGTGCCCAATGACTTATCAATTAGCATATTCGGCTAATCTCCCCCACTGTAGTTATAATATTCAATAAAAGACCTCCTGGCCTTGACATATCGCAAAAAAAATGCTATTTGTTTCTTGGGTTTTGTTGTTGTTAGACGCAAAGCTACACGATGCGCTATCTCTGTGCTCTGTCCAACACGGCTATTGAAACCCTATTTTTAGGGTTGTAAGCTTGCAGACTCACTGCTGAGCCAACAACTGGCAAAATGTAATTTTTATACGCCTGTAATTTGAAATCCGTAATGGACTAATTAAAAAGAATGTAGAAAACAATATCTACAATCAAGTGTATTTTTTATCAAAAATATTGGACCTATTGATTTTAGCATTTTCTTGGGATGGTAATCATTATGTAATGACAACAATGCATATTAAGACAATATTTTTGTATACACGTTTTATGTTTCATATTATTTAAATTCGTTTTTCTTTTTTCATCCAAAATTGTCTAAGTTCTGTTCAACATCTTAACGAAAACTAATAAAAAAATTTTTGTGATAAATCGTCTGTTGTTACTTGATGCTATTGCAAGATGCCCTCAGTCTCTTCCTGAGGCTGCTATTGGAGAAAATGTAAAACGAAACATAAACATGTACAGAGGGTATGGTGCAAAATACTTTATTTCAAATTTAAGAGAATTTTCCATTAATTCACTGGTAAAAATCTATTTTCTTTTCTTCAGTCTTTTCATATGTTTAAGTGCTCCTTTATGTCGCTGAGGTCTGTTGGCCATTATTTCGGCATACTTTTTCTTATTATATCTGAAAATACAAATAATAAATATATATATATATACATTACAATTCTGATCCATGTTGCACATTACGACTGTTCTGCTTTAGTTTTTGAGTAAAAAAATAATTGAAGTGGTACACTTTCTGCCCAACTTGTAAGTGTTTAATATATTTTTCCCTACACAAAGAGAAAAAAAAATCAACATTTTTTTTTCTTAAATGATGAGAAAAATCAAACAAAGAACAAAAACTGACTTCTGTTGGGTTAACTTGCTTGAAATTTGATCACATATCTAATGCTATACATTTGTATATGTTTGGAAAATGTTATCGACAAATCTAAGATATGATATTTGTAAAATTCTACAAAAACATTTGTGATTTTTGTCTAAATAATCCTATGTTTTAAAAGCTGGCTTTAAGCGCCATTGATGGGAAGTTATTGGGGAAAAAAAGTCTCAGTGAACTTCCTTATTTTTTCTTCCATTTTTATAAGCTTTAACCATAGTACTAGAACCTTTGCCAGGTATGTTGTACTCCAAAATAAGGGCCACAAAGTTATTAAATAAAATAAATTAAAAATGTAGAGACAGTTTACCAAAACATTTAGTAAATTTATCTCACATTACAATACTGAAATATTTGGAAACACTGTCATGAAATAAGCATATAATACAAGGGTAGATTTCATTACACTGGATAAGGCAAGAGCTTACTTAAAACATAATTTTACAGCCTCTCTAACAGTGCTTCATCAAAAGCCAGAACAACTTCTTAAATATAATTAGTGCAAAACAAAAAGTTTCAAACAATTGACCACATTATAAATTTGTGTCTAAACACCAGTTTTCAGGAGGTATTGGTGACCTCTACGTGGCAATAACCAACACTTTCAAATGGATCTCAGGCCTTCATAAACAACTCTAATTTTCTATTTTATCACTCCAAACAAAGAAGTGAAAAATAAAGACAAAAGAAGATTGGAATGAATTGAACAATGTGTTATGTGCTATTATGAAAAAGTCACTATCAAACCTGTTATGATATAAAAGACTGTTTTGTTTAAATATTAGAGATGAATTTATATTTGTGAGTGAATATTTTATTATTTTTAAGTTTTGTTATAATAAGAGTTAAAAGCAGACAATTGTAGAAGGTTTTGTTAATAACTAATTGGTGTCGAGAATATAGAAAGTGGCCAGACGATTATGTAATAAAGATAAAAATGGCATGAGACGAACAGGAAGCACCAGACAGACAACAATAGACTGATAATAGCAAAAGAGAATATAGCTGTGTGAACTAACGACTGACATAGGTCTAACA